CCCCAAAACCCCAAAACCCCAAAACCCCAAAACCCCAAAACCCCTCGATACAAAATAACTTTCGATTGAGAGTGTTTGCAGGACTAAATATTTTATGAATGAGCAATTTATATATAATAGCTGCAATTAAATTTTAATCTATAAAGTTAAGTAAGCGCTTGTAAGCAAGTCGTAATTAGTTGATCATAGCAATTTGAGTTAATGTTTATTAGGATTTCATAGCCCACTTTCTCATTTGTCTATTCTGAGTTTTTCGATTCCAGTAACTTTGTTGAATATCCTCTATCTAAGGTAATGTGGTTGCAGCCAAGACCTATTATTTTAAGATAGCTCGTCTAAAAATTCTTCTCTTGTGTTTCTAGTTTTGGACTTAAACACTGCATTTTAAAACTCTTCGAACATTGAATCATAAGCATCTTCTAATTTGGACTCGTCATTATACCATTCCTCTGGGATATCAGGATCACTGCTTGATTTATTAGCCATATAAAGACCAATCATAAAGGTATAGGTAATCTCCAGCATTTTACCAAATAACAATCTAAGCTCTTTGTCATTCTAAGAAATTTAAGAATCTAGGTTTTCTTAGCAAAGCTCGAAAAACTTCTATGCTTTTAGAGATGGGTTAGAGGGGCAGTAGAGATTTGCCAGTAATAAAAGCTAAGCAATGAGATAGTTCTATTTTCTTTTGTCCATCATTAACTCGTCAAGCAAAAGCTATTAAACTATGCTGTCCTTTGAGACAATCTCTCTTAAGGCTGTTGAATCTCTGAAGCTTTCAATTATTTACTCCTTGTTCAGACTGTTTGAGGTGGCCAACATCTTTAGTCTTCTTTCAAATTCGTCCACGTCAATCTTTGTGAGTGGTAGAGTGGATTCAAATTGTGAGATCATTGAAATTTGAGAGTGATCTGTCACAAATTCCTGCTTATACTATCCATATCTCAATCTTTTTTCTTCATAGTCAATCTGCTATTTCTCCTCCTATGGTTATCCTTCAGTTGGTGTTCCATACCATTTATTTTTTGCAGTCTCCTTTAACTGGTAAAATTTTTCTTTTGCAGTTTATCCTGCTTCTGACATTTTCTCTCTTGAAGCACACTGATTTCCCATTATTTAAGTTTATATCTTAATTTTAAATAAAATAATTACTCTCGAAATATTTGAATGCCTCTCTTAGGGGTTTTGGGGTTTTGGGG